GTTAAAATAAACGCCAAAGTTGTTGGTATGGGGGTTGGGTTTGTTTTTACTTCGATAGGAGTCGCCTCGCTTGAGTTTTCAGAAGGCGGAGGAGCTGCAGTTGAAGCAGACGATGAATCGCGAGAGCAAATTCCAGTTGCGGCCACGGCATCTACCAACGTCTGCATCAATGTGAAATCTGAGGAACTGCAGTTGGAGGCGACCAGGGTGCTGTTGGCCACATCAAGCGTTTGAGACTCGTCTTTTAGGATAATCAGTATCGATTCTTTACACTGCTCAGTCGACCAATCGCTTTCGTTGGCGCATCTGATCAGGGTGTCGTCCCGTGAGGCGACAGGGTTGCCAGATAGGCAGGTGATACCGAGACAAAATATAAGTAAAGTAAAGCTGGTTGTGCCAGATAAAAATGCCATCATGAAGAGGAAGTCGCACGTGTGAAAATCTGAAGAAATAAAAAACATCTAGATTTACCGATGTCTTAAAGTTAATCTTTATTAATGTTATTAAATTAGCATTATATTTTAACTAATTCTTCATTAATGTTAAGTAAAGGCGGATGGGCATAGTGTCTACCATATTATCTTTTCATATGCTATGTTCACAGAAACAAGTAAACTCTACTTCATCTGCCTGACCCATAGCTACTTTAGAAAGGGTAACTAGCTTTCATTTATGTTTAAAGAAGTACAATAATAATTTAATACACTTCAGATAGTTAATTTCAGTTTCATTTTTTATTCATAACATTTTCAGATCCTGTATAATACAGGAAAATTTTTATTTTTTCGTTAATTTTTAACCTTTTTTTACTATCAAATACGAAAAACAAATGTTCTTACAAGAAACTGTTTTCTTGTGTAACTAAATTTGGTGAACAGAACATCCCGAGAAGCACTACTTTGTTGTGTAATGACTTATTTTCTTGTAATTACAGACGTGTAATGACATGTTTTCTTGTAATTAAAGACGCCCAGAGAAATGACTATGGACTCGTACGGAATGGGAGATAACTAGTTTTAATTAGCAGAATAGATATGTATAAACATGTGAGATCATTAATGGCAGACACAACATTACACTCCACATAGAAGGGTTCATACTTCTGTATTTATATGTGATGAGGGGGAGGGGCGTTAAGAAAGAGTAATAACACATTTGTATATTTTCAAAAAATGTGTTAACATTGATACGAAAAAACAATAGCGTCATTTTACGGACGACCCTCCCCCCCCCCCCCCCCGACCACCCCCTCCTCAAACAATGCTTATTGTTTTTTAAAAGACGAAATGATTTTAATATTTACGAACTTGTGTAAGATTGTTAACTTCAGGAAAAAATGGATTTCTGATTTCCTGAAGATATTTCTTCCTTATGAATATTACCACACCCACCCACACACACACACACACACACACAAATCTACTGTTGAGACTCTACTGTACGAGCGTAGTTCGAGACTGGTTTAAGTTCGTAGTTCGAGGCTCGACTATGTTTTTAAAACTTCATTTAATATCATTTACAAACATACGGAGTTAGAGGCTGTTCGTTGCTAACTCTACAAAACTAATTTATTACAAGATGTGTCTTATCCAGCTATCTAACCCATCTCATTCAATCAAAATGTTTTTGCTAATTAAATAATATAATATAATATAAATACTTACATGATGGAAGAAGAAAAAAAATCTATTAAACTGTCTGTTTTGCAATAAATTATCAAGAATAAATGTAATATACAACTTTTAATTGTTTAATGTTATTGTAAGACACTAGACGTCTAGTGAACAAGCTATAAATTCTCAACTGGTTAAATTTATGGCGTGATTCGGGTATTATTTTTTTTAAACAGAAATATTATGACAACGGCGGACTGAGCCAAGTGCATGCTTTATACAAGTGTTTTTACATCAGTTGACACTGGCATGGCGTGTTTTCTGACAACACGTTGGTCGTACGAGCCGTCTTGGACCAATCAAATGTCGAGCTGTTATCTCGGGTTCACTCCGGCTTACTTAACATTTTATCGGTCACTTTGTACCGGATATATAGCGGGACTTGGTACGGTGAGGGGATTGTAGGAAGTCTTGAAATGATACGATTGTTTTGTGTGATCTTACATAACGGTCGTGGTTAATCCATGATAGATTACCTGCTTGACTTTCTTTTCTTGAAAACGCCCAACAAAATGGAGAAACTGCGACTTTGCTCACATTGAATTTTTCGCTACTTATTGCTCATATTCACACAGCTTTCACATATTCACACACCTTTCACATTTTACACATCTTTCACCTATCACTCATTTTCAAATATCTTCATATATCACATACCTATCACACAATCACACACATGTCACAATACCCAAACCTTTCAGATACATTTCACTTATCACTGATATTTACACATTATTTTAATGTATCACTGACATTTCACATATTCACACACCTTTCACACATATCACACACACCTTTCACATACAGTCATTACTCCAACACTATCTAAACATCCACAAACCATTATGTTCCCAAACTTCACACAACCACTAAACATCACACAATCCCCGCATATCACATGATACTAAGAACACTTTCGACCTTCTAATCACTAGACCTTACACACTATACAATCAACAAAGACTCACTACACACTATACAATCAACAAACACTCACTACACACCACAAACTATATAATCAACAAACACTCACTACACACCACAAACTATATAATCAACAAACACTCACTACACACCACAAACTATATAATCAACAAACACTCACTACACACCACACACTATATAATCAACAAACACTCACTTCTCAGCACATACGATACTATAAAACGACTAAGGATCAACCAACAACAAATATGTTCATCGTGCATACAATCTACTCACCTATTTATAAAACAATCATTTTTTTTTTCACAAAACAATATCGGCGTGGTTGAGAAAATAGAAGGTCTAACTCGAAAGCCTCGAGTTCGGATCCCGGACCCGAGTACGGATGGCCCTGAGTCCACCCAGCTCTAATGGGTACCTAACTTACGATAGAGAAAGTATAAGCGGCTGGGTATAGTAGTGACCACAGTAATCTTTCGTATGCCGAGTGAACAGAAACTGGTGAACTCTACGGCATCTGCACAATGGATCGTTGCATCCGAAATTAGGACTTACATCCATACAGCTCAATAAAATTAACTTGAATATAAAAACTGCCTTAAAACTTATCTGAGTCTATGTATTGAAATAATTCACTTCTGTACTAGTTTCAATAAAAAATATTTACCTACTCAGTTTCACAAAAAGAAATATTTGAAACAAAACATTCGAATTAAATAACATTATCTTCACTTACAAAACTAACTTTTAAAAAGCAAAAAAAATTAGTTATTCTATTGTAGCCTCGTCGTTTTAAAATTCTTCACTAGACAGGTAAACTTCTACAGGTAAATACCACACCTTATTCTGCATGCAGTAGGGAACGACAGCACACCAAGTAGGATTTAACCGTGGACACTTGACAGCAGATTTATTTTAAAACAACTGGCAAAACAGGACACAGAAAAAATAGGCAGCGCACAAACCATTGACATCACTTGACTTTCAGTATAAACAGTTCCGCTTCCCTTAACAACAACAGATTTTTGTATTTTTTTTTCTCTAATGTCACAATGGACCAGCGTGACTAATTAGTCACAAAAATTTTATATATATATATATATATATATATATAAATAAATAAATAAATAAATAAATAAATATATATATATATATATATATATATATATATATATATATATATATATATAATACATATACATACATACATATATCCGGGAGAAAGACAAGAGAAACTGTCTTTCATTTTCGCCTGTGTTATTATTTTAGATATATAACCCATATTCAACCGTCCATTCATCATCTCATCATTTTTTCTTCCTGTCGTGCTCTAGACATATGAGGCAGGTAAAGTTGAATTCATCGGTTTCAAAAACTTAGAAGTGCAGAGAAGTAACAACCCATTTTGGCGCCTGGTGCGAACTACCAATTTTGCACCCCCCCCCCATCATATATATATATTAAATCACGTTAGCTAAAAAGGAACCCCCCCCCCCACCACACACACACACATCAGTCACCGTTAATAGTTTTTTTTTCCGTATCACACAAGCAACATAGAAAGCCGTCGGCAGTGGCGTAGGCAGGGGGGGGGGGGGGGTTAAGGGGGGGGGGGGGGTCAAAACCCCCCATAGACCCCTCGGTATATATATATATATATATATATATATATATATATATATATATATATATATATATATATATATATATATATATATATATATATATATATATATATATATATATATAGTATGACGGGGTGCAAATTGAAGGTTTGAGGGGGGGGGGTGAAAATCGAAAGTTTGAGGGGGGAGCAAATCAAAAGTCTGAGGGGGAGGGGTGCAAATCGAAAGTTTGAGGGGGGGTGCAAATCAAAAGTCTGAGGGGGGGGGGTGCAAATCGAAAAATTGGAAATAAACAAAAAAAAAGCATAATGAAAATAGAATGGTAAGAAAAAATTCCAACTTTTTAACAGCTGTAACTGTACGTAAACACAACAACATAAACAAAAAATATTATTCGATGTTAAAAACGTCGCATTTATTTATTTTGGATGACGTTGTATTGTATTGTTATTATAGGCTTAGTTTATTTATTATCCAGAATATTTAGGTTTATTTAGAATTCGAAATGGATGCTTTAAATTTTTAGAAAATATTTTTTTTTTTTAAATTGAGCTCAAAACTTGAATTATTTAACATGTTGTTTAGCATTATTCATTTTAATTATTAAAATTTAGAATTTCATTACATTTGTTTACAACCGCGTTATGATATGTGTTTTAATACGTTAGATAAAATGTCTCTCTAATTATCCAACAGTATGTAATTATGTAAATACATTTTAAATTCAAAATTTAGAAAAAAAATATTATGCTATTTAATTTAAAATTGATGTTAAATGTTGCAATTTTGGAGATGTATCTGTGAGCTTGCGTTATTCTTGGAAACTTGACAAGAACGTTAACTCTGTCAGACACAGCACTAGCAGAACACCCGTTTGTAAGTAAATTGAATCTATAAATAGACATTTTTTTGAAAAAGTAAATTAGTAAATACAACACGATGCTCCTGGTATCCGAAATTAAGATGAGGAACATAAGGGGCTGGAGCGTCACTATACGTGTGTGGGTGGGGTGCTGACCCCACTAAGTGGTGCAATTAAATTGATGAGGTACCCAGGGGGGGGGTGATATGTTTTAGAGTTAAATACATCACCCAAAAGGGAGGGGAAGGCAGGGGGATAGTGACACCAAGATGAAAAACGATTGATTTAAAATACAGCGCAAAACAGTACATCGACCGTAAAACGACGGGTTGGAGTAGCGAAACCCTACGTTATCACATAGGGTGACACGCAACTTTTAAAAAGTAAGGTTAGCATATCTGTACAATATTGGTTCTATATGACTGTCTTATCTAGAATACCTGCATATAAGCGAGAGTTTCCACTGTGTGACCAGCTAACAGTAGAATTTATAGGAACCCGTTCACCTGTATATATATATATATATATATATATATATATATATATATATATATATATATATATATATATATATATATATATATATATATATATATATATATATATATATATATATATATATATATATACATAATATATATGATAGTATGTGTTTGTCTGTGTGCTTTTATCTGTCATTTATGCATCACTACACCTGTCAAAAGAAAAATGTTGAGTGGCGCCCCCCCCCCCCCCCGTTAGGTGCCATTCAGCGGGTCAGTGTTACTACTGTAACAGGTGCATACACCGGCAACTGTCGGGTGATCTGGAGCACCCCAGACTTCCCTATGAGTATTAGGCGCCTACATTCGTTTTAAAGAGCGCCCTTTACAGCGAGTTAGGCCTATTCTTGATTCAATTGTCAAACTGCAAAAGATGCGAAGGTCGGGTGATCGGGAGCATCCCAGCCTCCTTTATGATAAATTTGGCACCTATATTTGTTTTAAAGAGCACCCTACAACACTGACACAGTGAACCACTACCTTCAATGACTAAATTGAAAAAAAACTTCGCACATGGTGCCCCTGCGTTAGTGTAACCGGTGGCTCTCAGGAGCGTCCTGCGACACCCATAGCACATGGGCGTTCGCCGAGATGTTTTCTACATTACAGCATCGTTTTAAAAAATCAGTTTGACGTACCTAATACTAAATCTGAGTGTGTTAAGTATTCGTGTTTATTAAAGCAGAGTGTTGTGTGTGTAGCTGTAGATTTTGAATGATATTCATACCTCGTAAATGTAAACAAACGATCATTAATTTAAATCGCTATGACTTTACCTCGACGACTGCGATATTTAAAAGTGCAACTTGCAGTGATGATTGAAGAAGGTTTCGAACTGGAAAATTTATTCCAGGCATTTCTGAAAACCACCCGGAACAATGAATGGTCAAACAATGGATTGATGGTAAAGTTGTAGGGGTCGCCCTGTTTGCATGTGCAGTAGGGATTACGTCCCCTGCCGTGACACGTTTCTTCAGCTTGGCAGAAGGACCAGAGAATGCAGTGCTGCAAACCGAGAGAGGTATTTAAACACAGTGTTTGAAACACAATGTTAAACACATGGAGTTAAAACACGGTGTTGCAGTTGCGTCACTGGGTCGGGTGTAACCCGGTGCGGTAACGGAGGGTGTCACCCCACCAGTGTTTCTTCCAGACTTTTTTCTCCGGGGGGGCAGTTTAAATTTTCGGGGGGGGGGGGGGCGGTAGACTTTCTTCGGGGGGGCGGACACTGTTAAAAGTATATATTTTCTATATAAATTATATAAATTTCATTTCGTTCGGGGGGGCGGTAAAAAATTTTCGGGGGGGGCTTCGCCCCATCCCCCCCACCCCGAAGAGATGCCTGGAAGAAACTCTGCACCCCACCCCACCGTCCCCTCTCCTACGTTTTTGTTATTATTGTTAGGTGTCACACCTCTCCCCCTATCTTTTTTTATCGTAAAGTTATCTGGATAAAACATAGTAAATTTTACGATTTTTCGAAGCGGTATCACCCCCCACACCACCACCACCACTATGATGTCACCCGGTGTTGGCCGCACCCCAACACCGCCTTCTGAAGCCACTGCAGTGTAGAAAACACAATGTTACAAACACAAAATTAAAACTGAGCGTTAAAACTCATTGTTTAAGGCAGGTTTTATATTTATGTCTGGTGTCACAAAGAGCAGATGAAGTAGAGCTTATGTAGCTCTTTGGCCTTCGGGTAGTGTGGTCAGTACAATGTCAAGCCGTCTTAACTTTTGCTGAGGTCAGTACAATGTCCAGCCGTCTTTTGCTGAGGTCAGTACAATGTCCAGCCGTCTTTTGCTGAGGTCTGTACAATGTCATGCCGTCTTTTGCTGAGGTCAGTGCAATGTCGAACCGTCTTTTGCTTAGATCTGTACAATGTCAAGCCGTCTTTTGCTGAGGTCAGTACAATGTCAAGTCGTCTTAACTTTCGCTGACTGGTAGCCTACTCATCACTGCTTATTAATAGAACTCGAGACTTTACTTTTCTACTTCTCGACCACGTTAAACCACACAACTACAGCAACAATAATTTTTAAAAACACAACACTTTGACACCCTACCCTAGCCCAGTTCTCCTCGTGAGTACACACATTCGCATCTCTGTCGTAACAGTAGAGAACCTCCAAATCAACACAAAAGTTGAACAAGCTGGCAGAAGGCAAACTTTTTATAGGGTGCCAGAAATGTCCAAATATTTGACCAGTGTGGCGACAGTAGAGGTCAGCACATTCCAATTCATGACCCACTATGGTCACTTCGAAAAAATCTTTCGCGCAAGTGACGACATCTGCAAGGAAAACTAAACCTAAACCATAAATTTGTGTGATGATACAAAACTAAACCTAAACAATAAATTTGCGTGATGGTACAAAACGAAACCTAAACAATAACTTTGTGTGAGCCTCACATCATTTAAAAAAAAAAACTTATCAACAAATAATACTCTTTTGTTAACTTATAGTTTTTTAAAAATATTTCATATATGTAGCTCTGTGCTCAATAACTAGTATTGATGCATATTTGTAAAGCATACGGGCCCATCTCACGAGGGATAGTAAGACCTGTCCTCACCAAGCCCCAGATATATATTGAATTGTATTTTTATCCTATCCACCCCCTTCCCCCCCCCCCCCCCAAAAAAAAGAAGAAAAAACCCTATGAGTTTTATTATATGTCACTTTCATAACATTATGCGTTAGCTATTAAAACAGCAAACGAAGAAAACGTTATTGATTGAATTAACAGGAAGAAATAACACAAAAGTCCAAGAAAAAGATTGATAGTGAAAACTTACCTGGAAGAAATAGCAGACAAGCAAACAAATTGAACAGCTTCATAGGGCCAAAACTTGTGAACTTTGTCTGATGCATCTGGGCCTTGTAAATACAGTAGGTTTTGCGTTCACTGTGTTGTAATAGAGGGTTGGCGTTCAAGTTATATACAGAAGGTTGACGTTTATTGTCTTACAACAGAAGAGAGTTTATGTTCATAACATCGTTATATAACTTAAACTTTGATAAGATTGGTAATTTACTTTCGGTTTGATGCTTTCAGACATGCAGCTAGATCTACATCGTTAGCAATAAGAGAAAAACCAATACATTCAAACACGCCCTTTCGAATTTTTACTAAATCTATACGAGTTCCTTCCTTAAAGTTTACCTTGAAGAAGAGAACACGGAGTTATGAATTTACATTTTTATATTTATGAATATAAAGAAATATGCTTCTTGTTGTATTAAAACTTCAGATGTATTGAAGAAAAAACCTGCTCTTGATCATGTTAAAAGCTAAGCCATTTTTAAAAATAATTTTTGTAGAAGTGTAAAAGAGTTTGGGAATTCCCATTGACAATGCTGTGCGCATTTTATTATTTTTAAACATCCGTCTTTTGTGATGGTCTCGTCTGACACAGAAAACTTATGAATAGAAAAAAAAATGTTTTCTAAAAGTTGTTCATATTATTCGAAGAAGTGTGCCTAGTTGTATTATTGGTCAATATAGCGTTACTAGGTAGAAACGGGGGGTGACACTAATTAGAGGGTCACTTCAACTCGAAAAATGTTTCAACCCTTGGGGACGCTATTGTAGAAATTCCAAGCACGCCAGACGAATTTAAAGTTGGAGATTATAATACTGTTAAAGGTTTTCCGCATGGCTTGGAGAAAAGAGATATGAAAAACTATTCCCATGAAGCCAAAACTAGCGATATGGCAGCATTTTCCATTCAAGGTCGAAGAAAAACGATGGAAGATCGGTTCAACTCCATTTCACACAATTTTGAAAACAATTACTCTGTCTATGCTGTGTTTGATGGTCATGGTGGTGAGGTAAATACCAATTTATACATTTCTTTGCTGATCTATCTAGTTTTAAATACGTTTGCGGCTTATAATGATAGGTCATTAAAGTCTACATACTACATAAAAAATGGCATCTGTTTAATTCTGAATCCAAACATGGAACATACTTTTCAACATAGTTTCATGAAAAACATACTTGTGCATTGTAATAAACTGCAACATGTAGATAAAATATAAAATTGATGCATGTAACTTTAAACAATATTTAAACATTTTTACGAACCATTGCATGACATAAATTATAAATTATGAACCATTGAAAAATAGCACTCTAATCATCTAATGACTACGCAAATTCTATTCATGTGATAATAAAGGTCTAATGAATACAACATTTATTTATAAACATTTAAATATCTTTACTAATACTAAACTAAAGGTTTATTTGTGATAATTTTGAAGACCTAATCATATAATTAATTTGATAGTTGACTGATGATGTATCTAATAAGTTATAACCCACATTAAGGCGGCTGAAGTAGAGTTCATCTGTTTCAAAAACCTCGGCATATGAGAAATAGTGTGGTAAGCACTATACTTTGTCCGTAGTTCCCTAACGTGCGTCAGTTACCCTTCACAGCACAGACTCGATCTCGGGATCCGAACTTGAGACTTTCGGGATGGTGGTCATGAGCTCTATCGTCCTACCACTCCATCCCTACTAGTCTACTCGTACAATAACCTTTTACATTTTTCTCATTTTAGGAAATGTTGTGAATTTTTCTAAAATAAGTATTCAATAAAAATAACGTGAAACGTCAACCAAGAATTAGAAAATAAACAATAAAAGCTTATTCAAAAGATTATGTTGAGAAAAAAAAAATTAACAGCTGTAACTTTACGTAAACACAACAAAATAAACAAAAAAAATTTTTTCGATGTTTAAAAGGTCGCATTTATTCATTTTGGATGACGTTGTATTGTATTGTTATTATAGGCTTAGTTTATTTAGAATTTTTAAATAGATGTTTTAAATTTTAGAGAATAATAAAAAAAAATATGAGCTCAAAACTTGAATTATTTAACATTTTGTTTAGCATTATTCATTTTAATTATTAAAATATTATTTTTCATTACATTTGTTTACAACCGCGATATGATATTTGTTTTAATACGTTAGATAAAATATTACTCTAATTATCCTATCCAACAGTATTTAATTATGTAAATGCATTTTAAATTCAGAGTATGGAAAAAAAATAAGAATATGCCATTTAATTAAGAAATGATGTTAAATGTTGCAATTATGGCGATGTATCTGTGAGCTTGCGTTATTCTTGGAAACTTGACAAGAACGTTAACTCTGTGAGACACAGCACTAGCAGAACACCCGTTAGTACTTGAATAGAATCTAGAAATAGACATTTTTTGAAAAAGTAAATACATTAACACGATGCTCCTGGTATCCGAAATTAAGATGAGAAACATAAGGGGCTGGAGCGTCACAAGACGTGTGTGGGTGGGGTGGGATACGGACCCCATTAGGTGGTGCTATTAAATTCATGAGGTACCCAGGGGGGGGGATGATAAATTTACTGGAGAAAATAACTATGTGTCTATTTGTAAAAATAGTTAAATATATTACCCAAAATGGAGAGGGTGGGAGGGGGTGGCGACACCAAGATGAAAAATTATTAATTTAAAATACAACGCAAAACATTTAACGGCATGTGGTGGTGGTTGGGGGGGGGGGGGGTAGCGATACCCTGCGTTATCACATAGGGTGACACGCAACTTTTTAAAGAGTAAGGTTAGGATATCTATAAAATATTGGTTCTCTAGGACTGTCTTATCTAGAATACCTGCATATAAGCGAGAGTTTCCATTTTGTGACCAGTTAATAGTAGAATTTATAGGAACCCCGTTCACCTGTTCGATATATATATATATATATATATATATATATATATATATATATATATATATATACATATGACAGTATGTGTTTGTCTGTGTTCGTTTGTCTGTCCTCTATGCTTTACTACACCTTTCATGAGAAAGCTTTGGAGGGGCGGCGCCCCCGACCGTTAGGTTTCATTCAGCGGGTCAGTGTTACTACTGTAACAGGTGCATCCGCCGGCAACCGGGTTGTCGGGTGACCTGGAACACCTTAGGCTTCCCTGTGAGTATTAGGGCGCCTATATTCGATCTAATGGCGCCATTTCATTTGTAATACTGCGTGCCGAGGCGGTCGGATGACCGGTAGCGCCTAATGATTCCTTATGATCAATTTGGCGCATACATTCGTTTTAAAGAGCACCCTACATTACTGACGCGGTGTGCCACTGCCTTCAATGACAAGACCGAACGAGGAGTCGCACCAGGTGCCTCTCCGTTGATGTAATTGGTGGCTCCCTAGAGACCACCGCGACGCCCACAACACCTGAGCGGTCGCCGAGGTGTTTTCTACCTCACAGCATCGTTTTAAAAAATCAGTTTGACGTACCTAATAGTTATGAAATTTGAGTCTATAAGATTTCGTGTTTATTAAAGCAGCTGTTGGTGTGTGTGTGTGTGTGTGTATAGCCTTAGATTTCGAATGATATTCATACCTCGTAAATGTAAACAAAACGATTATTAATTTAAATCGCTATGACTTTACCTTTACGACTGCGATATATAAAGGTGTTGCTTGCAGTTATGATTTCAGAAGGCTTCGAACTGGCAAATTTATTCCAGGCGTTTCTGAAAACCACCCTGAACCAAGAGTGGTCAAACAATGGATTGATGGTAAAGTTGTAGGGGTCGCCTTGTTTACATGAGCAGTAGAGATTACGTCCCCTGCCGTGGCACGTTTCTTCGGCTTGGCAGAAGGACCAGAGAATGCAGTGCTGCAAATCGAGAGAGGTAGTTAAACACAGTGTTTAAAACACCAATGTTAAACACAAGGAGTTAAAACACGGTGTTGCAGTTGCGTCACTGGGTTGGTGTAACCTGGTGAGGTAACGGAGGGTGTCACCCCCACCCCACTGTCCCCTCTCCTACGTTTTTGCTATTATTGTTAGGTGTCACACCTCTCCCCCCTATCTTTTTTTATCGTAAAGTTACCTGGATTAAAACATTGTAAATTTTACGACTTTTCAAAGTGGTGTTACCACCCCCGCCCAATGATATTAACAGGTGCTGACCGCACCCCCAACCCCGCTCTGTGACGCCACTGCAATGTAGAAAAACACCCGAGTTTCTTCCAGGCATGTATTAGGAACGAAATGAAATTTATATAATTTATATAGAAAATATATCCTTTTAACAGTGTCCGCCCCCCCCCCCCCCGAAGAAAGTCTACCGCCATTCCCCCCCCCCCCCCAAAAAAATAATTTCAAGAGCCGCCCCCCCCCCCCCCCCCCGGAGAAAAAATTTCGGGAAGAAACACTGGAAAACACAATGTTACAAACACAATTTTAAAACTGATTGTTAAGACTCAATGCTTAGATGGTGTTAAAGTTTATATCTGATGACACAAAGGGCAGATGAAGTAGTTCATGTGGCTCTGTGACCTTCGGGTAGTGTGGTCAGTACAATGTCAAGCCCTCTTAACTTTTGCTGAGGTCAGCACAATGTCCAGTCGTCTTTTGCTGAGGTCAGTACAATATCAAGCCCTCTTTTGCTGAGGTCAGTACAATGTCAAGCCGTCTTAACTTTCGCTGACTGGCAGCCTACTCACCACTGCTTATTAATAGAACTCGGGACTTTACGGTTAGGTCATGCGTTCTACCACTCGACCACGTCAAACCACACAACTACAGCAACAATAATTTTATAAAACACAACACCTTAACACTCTACCCTAGGCCAGTTCTCCTCGTGATTACACACATTCGCATCTCTGTCGTAACAGTAGAGAACCTCCAAATCAACACAAAAGTTGAACAAGCTGGCAGGAGGCAGCCTTTTAAACGGGTGCCGGAAATTTCCATATATTTGACCTGTGTGGCGACAGGAGCGGTCAGCACAGTCCAATTCATGACCCACTATGGTCACTTGGAAAACATCATTCTGGCAAGTGACGAAATCTGTAAGGAAAAACTAAACCTAAACAATAACTTTGTGTGATGAAACAAAACTAAACCTAAACAATAGCTTTGTATGATGATACAAACCTAAACCTAAACAATAACTTTGTGTGATGAAACAAAATTAAACCTAAACAATATCTTTGTGTGATGAAACAAAACTAAACCTAAACAAAAATTTGTGTGATGATACAAAACTAAACCTAAACAATAACTTTGTGTGATGATAGAAGCTCATATAAGGGAAAAAAGCATCAGTATAATTTGCAGTCGTATCATAGGCGTATCTGTGTGAGGAGATAGGGAGGGGGTGGGGGCGAGCCTCGCAACATTGTTTTCAAAAAATATAAACTTATCAACAAATAATATGTTTTTGTTTACTTTAATTTTTTAAAATATTTTATATATGTAGCTCTGTTCTCAATAACTGGTATTGATGCATGTTTGTATAGCATACGAGTCAATTTCACGAGGGATAGGAAGACCTGTCTCCACACAGCCCCTAGATCTATATTAAATTGTATTTTTATCTTCCCCCCCCCCCCCCCCCCAAAAAAAACAAGAAAAAAAAACCAAAAACTTATCTATATACGCCAATAAGTTTTATTACATGTCACTTTCATAACATTTTACTTTAGATATTGAAATAGCAAACGAAGAGAACACTATAATGAATTAACAGGAAGCAGTGGCATAGCGAGGTCGGGTGTTACCCGGTGCGGCACTTAATGGTGTCACCCCCTCAGAGGCGTAGAGACCCTTCCCGGGGACAACCTTTCCAAGTTTAGATCCGCAACCTTCCCCCCCCCCCCTCTCAAACTTTCGATTTGCACCCCCTCATGTTTTTCTCTATATATTTTGCTATTGTTTGCCTTGGTGTCACCCCCATAAATGGTTTTACTCGGTGCTGTCCGCACCCCCCCCCCCCCGCCCCCCCCCCTCGCTACGCCTCTGACAGGAAGAAATAACAAATTCCATGTAGAAGATTGATAGACAACTTACCTGGAAGAAATAGTAGACAAGCAAACAAAGTGAACAGCTTCATTGGGCCAAAACATGTTAATTTTGTCTGATGCATCTGGGACTTTTAAACACAGTAGGTTTGGCGTTCACTGTGTTGTAATAGATGGTTGCAGGGGCGGAACTACAGTGCCGCCAGACCCCGTAATGCGGGGTGGCCCACGCCATTTAGGGGCCCACAGCCGACCATAATATTTTTTTTATAGTTAAAAAAAATAATTTTCTTGCATTTTTATCTTGATGGTTGTTTTGTGAAAAAAAAGATTACAGTAGCTGCGGTTGGATTATCTTTATTCTATAGACACCACCCCACGCTCTTGTATATTCTTTTTCCCTTTGTTTTTAAACCACTGTGAAAGTCGAGTCCTCTTTCTCCTGCAATCAAACTTATCAAAGATAAGCACTTTCAAACCACTTTCACGACTTATTTCCCTTTTTTAAATAGTCAAATCGGGGTGCTCAAAAGCTCCTTTAAATAGATTTGTACTAAACATATTAAAAAAAGCAATGACTTCTCTTAATTATTTTTTTTAAAGTACTTACTAAAGAATAACATTGAATAAAAAGGACAAGTATTTAAAATGAAAAATATAAATACTAACAAACATAAAAATAAACATAGAACGAGACACCATTATTTATACAAAGCTTTCATGGTTTATATTCTTTTGACCGACTAAGGTTTCGAGGTCTTAAAGCAGAGATAAAATAAAACTGATTATTACAGAACACACTCAAAAGAAAGAGATTGATAAAACTAAGAAGAAAGTAGTGATCCAACAAAGGGTTAATCGCACGCTACAAGAGAAATGCAACAGACTTCCTCCCATCAACCTGAGACAGCACCTGAATCCAATGAATCAGCTAACACAAGGTTTATAGTCAACCTCTATCATTAATCTAGGCTAATATAGGTCTTGAGTTTCACAAGCCTCTTTTTAAAAACTATAATGAATAAACAACTAAACACTATTAGATATGGATGTATCTAAATAAACATACGTAAACATTAAAAAACAAAAAAAAAAAATACAGAACACACAAAAGCACTAACTCACATGACATGATGTTTTAATTTAAAAAAAAAAACATTTATTTTGTTCATAACCCGAACAGGCCAGCAATGAGTATCATATGTTCGTATTTAGTGTTTGTATATATATATATATATATATATATATATATATATATATATATATATATATATATATATATATATATATATATATATATATATATATATATATATATACATATATAGATATATAGGCCTATATAATATATGTATATGGGGGAAGGGCCTAAAAATTTTTTTTTGCGGGGTGGCCCTTTTTTTCTAGTTCCGCCACTGGATGGTTGGCGTTATATAGGCTACAGAAGAGGGTTGACGTTTATTGTCTTACAATAGAAGAGAGTTTATGTTCATACCATCGTTATATAACTTAAACTTTGATGAGATTGGTAATTTACTTTCGGTTAGATGCTTTCAGACGTGCACTAGATCTAGAATCTAGAATCTATAACTTTAGCGATAAGGATCATAAGAGAAAAACCAATACAATCGAAAACGCCCTTTGGAATTTTTACTAGATCTATACGAGTTCCTTCCTCAAAGTTTACCTTGAAGAAGAGAACACGGATATGAATTTACATTTTTAAATTTATGAATATCGATAAAGAAATACGTTTCTTGTTGTATTAAAACTTCAGATGTATTGAAGACAATGTCTTATCCTGCTATTGTTACGAGCTAAGCCATTTTCTAATATAAATTTTGTAGAAGTGTAAAAGAGTACGGGAGTTCCCATTGACAATTTAAATGTGCGCATTTAAAAAAAAAATTAACATTAGTCTTTTAAGATGGTCTGGTCCGACACAGAAATTTATAAATAGAAAAAAAAATGTTTGCAAAAAGTTATTAATATTATTCCAAGAAGTGTGCCTAGTTGTATTATAAATCCATATAGCGTTACTATGTAGGGACGGGTGGGGGGGGATGGATGAGCCCGCAGTAGCGTAGCGAGGGGGGGGGGGGACATATGTCCCCGGGCGCCGACATTAGGGGGCGCCAAAATGGGTTGGAAAAATTAATTGAAAGGTTGAGGGGGGTGCAAATCGAAACCTCGAAGGGGGGGGGGGGGGGGGGTGCAAATCGAAACTTTGAGGGGGGGGTGGCAAATCGAAATCTCGAGGGGGGTGCAAATCGAAACTTTGAGGGGGGGTGGGGGGTTCAAATCGAAATCTCGAGGGCGGGGTGCAATTCGAAAAGTTTTTCCCCGGGCGCCGGGAAGGGTCGCTACGCCTCTGTGAGCCCGTACCGGGTGACACTATATAGAGGGTCACTTCAACTCGAAACATATTTAGATCCTTAGTATTGAAAGTGAAATAATCATTTAGAAATAATTTCTTGCTAGCCTATTAATTATAAGATATCCTAAACTTTTAATTTGATTTCAAAATATTTGTATATTTAGCCGATTTTATACAGTATAGTAAAATATTTCTTTTACTTAGCGGTTTCGAATTATAGTTTTTAGCTCAACACGTACACAAAGATCATTTTGCTTGGAGGGGAAAAAAGATCACTGGGAAACTTCCTTGTTGGGTATTTGTCTTATGTCGAATAAAATAATAAATAGACCTAAGATCTAGATCTACATCTAGTTATAGGATCTACATGAAATAATGTCTTGAGGAAAGTAACATTATCGTATCGCAATGGCGTACACTGTGTCAAGAGTTCTAGCCACAGGTATTTATTTTGTCAGAGACTGGGTCTTTTGCTCAGAAGCCATTGCATTGTACCATTGTTCGTTGCATCGTTGTTTTTCTTCAACGTCTTGCGACTTCTTCGCGGTTTATTCGTGTGCTTCTGCCGATGGAAATACAAGCATGTAGAAATACCAAGCACGCCAGACGAATTTAAAGTTGGAGATTATAATGCTGTTAAAGGTTTTCCGCATGGCTTGGAAAAAAGAGATATGAAAAACTATTCCCATGAAGCCAAAACTAGCGATATGGCAGCATTTTCCATTCAAGGTCGAAGAAAAACGATGGAAGATCGGTTCAACTCCATTTCACACAATTTTGAAAACAACTACTCTGTGTATGCTGTGTTTGATGGTCATGGTGGTGAGGTAAATACAAATGTATAGGCCTACATTTCTTTGCTGATCTATCTAGTATCTAGTTTTAAGAAGGTCTGCAGCTTAATCGGCCTAATGGCATCTGTTTAATTCTGAATCCAAACATGGAACATTCATTAACATTTCAACATAGTTTAATGAAAAGCATACTTGTACTAAACTGCAACATGTAGATAAAGTATAATTTATACTATAAATAGATGCATGCAAATTTAAAATATATTTAAACATTTTTACAAACCATTGCATGACATAATATAAATTATTAGCCATTGTCGCCATTGAAAAATAGCACTTTAATTCTATTCATGTGATAATAAAGGCCTAATGAATACAGCATTTATTTTATAAACATTTATATATCTTTACTATTACTAAACTAAATGTTTATTTCAATAAGACGATGTGATAAAGTAAGTAATTTTGAAGACCTAATCATATAATTAATTGGATAGTTGACTGATGATGTATCTAATAAGTTATAACCTACATTTTAGTATTCTAATACTATTAGGTTTTATTTCTCAGTTTGCAGCAGAGTACATAGAAGAGCAATTATTTTGCTCTATACGAAAGGAATTTACTCAAGGAAGTTTTCAAAATGACCCAGATCTAGTTAAGCAGGTAATTTAAATTACTACATGTGGGCACTATTTAATTACTATTTATGTAGATTATTTTAAAAATAAATTTGTATTTCATGTAAAATAAATAGTTATCACTTAAAATTGATTTTTATACCTCTTAAGATGTTTTAAAATTTCTAGCTTGATTCTTATAATAATATCCTTGCAGCTAATGTAACATGAAAATATGCTAATTTTTTCTATGTCTTTCAATTTGCAAATTGAATTAGTATTACATTGGTATATTTTCCTTATCAGCGTCGCCATGCAAAGTTTGTAGAATTAAAAACAGAAACTAGACCTGCATAATGAATTGTAACTGACATAAATTTGCAGGTGTTGACCAGTGTGATTCGAACTGTAGATGCCCAGCTGGTTTGTTTGTCCAGAGACCGCATGGACTTATCTGGTATTTTATTGTTCCAATTTTTACCCCTTAAACAAGATGATAACTTTTATCTGAAAATAATAATTGCAGTAAATAGTAAATTAATGTTCAACCTAAAATAAAGCTTCTTTGTTTTGATTTTGACCGCAACGCAACAAGGAAAAAATATTCTTAAATATGTTGCATGTTTTAAATTCTTCCCTCAGGGTCGACAGGTATAATAGTCTTTCAAAAGGGCAACCACATCACTGTGGCTAACATTGGTGACTCAAGGGCAGTCATGTGTGACACCAAGGGCAACGTTGTGGCACTCTCCACTGACCACAAACCATCAGATGTACGTCCCACTTTTTACTCATGCTTTTGTGATATGACATGAAATACTTATTATCAGTGGTCAGCAGCAATGTTCCCTCTAAGGGGAAAATGCTACTGTAGAACAAATATTTTGTGTGCACATTGTTCTTAAGTCTTGTACAAAGACATATATATTTCATAATTAACTGCACGACGGTTGAAAACTACTGCGCGGCCATGCAACCGCGTAGCTTAGAGGTAACATAGGTCAGCAGGACATACTGTTTTTATTTCACATCAGATTTGTTTCTGAGAACTTAAGAGGACGCTGTCTCTGTGCATAGTTTTCTGTAATTAATTTAATGTAGTTTCTATTATATAATGTTAAGCTTTTGTTTTTTAGACAATATGTAATGACTGTTCATAGTGCTGCCATTCTAAATTTTAAAATGTTTCTGCATGGCTTGTTTGTGGGTAGCTTTAATGCAGAATTATTTAATCACACTTAATTAGTGATTATCAATCTAGTAATAAGAACTTTTTTCATTTGATAAATCTTCATAAATGATAACATTTTGCAATCGAAACACAATTATAATTGCAAATTAACAATAAGTTTACCTTACAGCCTAAAGAGCAACAAAGGATTGTAGATGCAGGTGGATTTGTCACTTTTAATGGTGTCTGGCGTGTGGCAGGTGTTCTAGCAACATCGAGAGCCTTCGGAGACTACCCCCTTAAGCAACGTAGGTTTGTGACAGTGGAGCCGGAGTTTCGAGTCTATGACATTCAAGAATCCAAGCCCCATTTTATCATACTGGCTACTGATGGCCTGTGGGATGTTTTCAGCAATGAGGATGCTGTAAGGTTCATAAGGTTAGCTGACATGTTTTCTTTTTACCTAATGTTTGCTGGACATGTTTTCCTTTTACCTAAGGTTATCTGGATGTTTTCTTTTTACCTAATGTTGGCTAGACTTGTTTTCCTTTTACCTAAGGTTATCTGGACGTTTTCTTTTTACCTAATGTTGGCTAGACTTGTTTTCTTTTACCTAAGGTTATCTGGACGTTTTCTTTTTACCTAATGTTGGCTAGACTTGTTTTCTTTTACCTACAGTTATCTGGACGTTTTCTTTTTACTTAATGTTTGCTGGACATGTTTTCTCTTCCAAGCTCAAAGTCTGCGGTTTGGTGGTCGTCTTGTAAATCAATATTTACCCAATTCTAATGCAGCAACTTCTTTTAAACTTATTAGATAACTTAACTTCTGTTGTCAATGCAAGCATACCTATCTTAGAATTTAATTAAATATTAAATGAATTATTAAAAATAATTTAGATATAACTGTATCCAGTAACAAAAATGTGAGATAACAATATTAAATACTAAGCATCACTTGGCTTTGAGACCCTGACCATATACTTTGAGGTAGCATACTTTTTCTAACATTTCATACTATGAAACACCATGCTTCATCCTGGATCTTAATTTATAAGCTGACCTCATGACCTTTTTTGACTTCTGACTTCACATGATCAAAGATCAAACCCAGTAGGCCACTGGTAAACAATATATTATAAATACGTATAGTATTATAATCTGGTACACAAGTATTTTCTATGTAACAAGACTAAACCTATGTTAAACATCACTTACAGCTGTTAGAACATACCATAGTTTTTGGCTTACAAGACAACCACCCTTGACTTTTGGGAATAATCACTGTAATAGTTCACACACTGGATAAGACAGTACCTGACCTTTGAGAAGATATCTCTGGTGTCAAAAGTTGTCTTGTATGCATAAAATGCTATAACCTTTTTTAAAAGTTAATTTCCTTGTTAGAAACTTAACTATTATTTTTTTTTATCCATAGTGAAAGGCTAGACGAACCCCACCTAGGTGCGAAGAGCTTGGCCCTCCAGGCCTACTATAGAGGTTCTCTGGACAATATAACTGTTATGGTGATCAACTTCAAGAAGAAAAGAGCTCTTCAGCGGAAATTTGACAAGAAATTAAAACATTTATCTGGCACAACTCCGGAGTCTAACCAAGATGAATCAAAATAAGTTGGTTGGGGTTTTCTAATTGTTTATCTACTTAAGGTAGTATTAGATACTTTAAGAGATCTAATGTACCCTTTTATTCATGGGTATTGTTTTTTTTTAGTTTTGAACTAGTCATAAAAGTCATTTTACTGTGTTCACTTTCCTATACTAAACATGATCATAAATTACCAACTTAAAGCTTCTTTACTCAACTGAAGTAATTATCTGATTATAATTATTCTTTTGCTTTTTTAATTTAGTGTTTTCCAATTACCAAAATAATTTAGCTCAGGGCTTTCATATCAAAGATTAATCCGTTTTTTTATATGTATGGATGTAACTGGTAGTTATTATAGAACTACATTAAAATAGCGGACCATTTTGCATTTTTTTTTTCATTACTTAGGTATTCTTTTTTTAAATGCTTTGGTGCCTTGTGCAACAGATGCATGATGGGACGAAACTTTCATTAGAGATTTGTGGGTTGAGGCCTGGGTCATGTGTTTGTAACAGTATATCGCAATATCAGTCTGGTAGTGTGGGTATGTGAATCTTAATATGACAGAGGAGCAAAAACGACTAATGAAAATATTCAGCTCTCTCTCTCCCAGTCCCACACATAGTCACACTGATACCATGTCATATGTCCATGGGTGTCCTCAATGTACATCAAACAAGTAAGGATTGGTAAACCACACTCAACAACCCTCCCCCATCCCTTGCCCAATTACAACTGATGCTGATATGATAAATTGAATTGAGAAAACCTATTAACTCAATTAAAGACAGACAATTGTGAAAGGGAAATATCATTAAATGAAGTGAATGGTTTGGTTTTTAAAAGCAATTCACCTAAGGTCCCAGATCCTGAAAAAAAAAATGACCGACCCTTATTGCCAAAATTGTCATTATGTATTTGCTAACTGTATCCAGTCTTTGTCTGATGCTCAACTTACTTACTGAACATTTCTCTGAAATTAAGCAGAAAGTCAAAGGAAACTGTTAAACTAGATAGCTGTTGGTTTATTTATCAGATTGGTTTCAAGAATCAATTACTAAATTAATGGCACACTCAAATAATTGTTTAATAAGCTTTTTAATGTGCTTTTTGATAAAGAACATAATAATAATCAAAAACTAATTTGGATAATGCAAGTGATATTTAATCATTGCGATACTTGTATAACCGAATGTGGTTATTGGTTATAAATAAAGTTATATTTAGGCTGATAAATAGTACATTTTTTCAGTTTAATGCTCATAATTTTTCTTATTTATCCTTATCTCTCTCAATCATTGTTTTCTTTTCTTGCCTGGATAACATGCATCTGGTGCTTGGGTTAAAGAGTTTTGATGTTGATGTTTCAGGGAGAAAAATCAAAACTAGAACAATATTGGGTGCTGTATTTTGTTCAAGGCACCTAGCTGTTAGTTTACTGTTGAAACAAGTGTGGGTTGGGATCTTCTCAGATGTTTTAGATCTGTGACTGTGGGTATAGCTGGAAGCAATAGGGGGTTGTTTGTATTGTTATGAGTCAGATCGTTGAGGGGTAGATGGCCTAATGAACTATGAACTGCTGTGGGCATAGAAGAATGGACTGGTCTGATTAAACCGGAACTGCTAAGCGTATAGAGGAATGGACTGGAAGCAATAGGGGGTTGCTTGTATTGTTATGAGTCAGATAGTTGAGGGGTAGATGGCCTAATGAACTATGAACTGCTGTGGGTATAGAAGAATGGACTGGTCCGATTAAACCGGAACTGCTAAGGGTATAGAGGAATGGACTGGTCAAACTAATCTTAAACGGTGGGAGTCACTGCATATATTTTTTAAACATTTTTGAATTGAATGGATTGTTTTCCCCCCTTGCCTTATGATGTTATGTATACAGAAATTGTTGCTTGTTGCTAATCATAACATATCTAGATAATCTGTCAATCTTTCAATGATTGGTTGCACAGTTAAACAAATACCTGGAGAAAGATACTGCGCTTTAGTAGAGTGTCTTGCTGGTCGTGAAGTATTTAATTAATTAATATTTAATTTTTTACTTTGATTTGAATAATTTTTTTGAAATAATAAGTAAACAGTAATAGAAATGAAATTATTATTTACTTGGGTTATAATTTTTTAAACTATTTTTGAAGCAGACCAGCATTTTATTTCATTTTTATCATCACTGCCATTATAGAATGTTAAAATCTGCAAGCATTTACTTTTTATTTGGATATAATTTATGTTGGCCTTTTTAAATTATATTTTTTAGTTAAAAAATGAAATCTCACAATATTTTTGTGAAAAATGACTAGCATTATTTCCCTTGTTTGTGATATTAGTATTATTTCCCCACATTTGTTCTTATTTAATTTTTATAAATATTTTTTTGATAAATATAAATAGATCTATGTATTATATTTTGCAATTGCAATGGTGTTCTAAAGTGTATGCTACTTTTTTTTACTTTCAGCCTAGTTTTTTTTTTACTTCTTCAAAAAGGCTGATTTTTATAAAACTAAAGAAAGTTCAAATTAGATTATTTTTTTTTCAATAAACAACAAGATAACAAGAAGATTTTATCAAATTTTTTCTATATTACTAAAATACATTGATTGCTTATCTCTTGCATTGGGTTGTTGTGTTTTTTTTATTAAAGTGATAGCCTTGTCTCCTGATCTTGTATAAAATATCTAGACTTGTATCATAGTTTTTATCCGAATGATTAGGTCTACTGGCATGCATCTTTAATTAGCCACTCCAACCTTTTAAATTTTCAAAATGTAAATTTTTTTTTATCCGTCACGGGGTTAGTTCTGTTTTGTGCACTCACAGTGATTTTACTGTGTCTGGATATTAGATATTTAAGTATAGAAACCTATGACTGGTAACAAGTAAAAAATCATTGTTGAGTTGAATATCATATTTTTTTTAAACCATTGGTATAGGTTTTATTATTAATATTATATTCATGAAATCAGACACTAACCAAACAAAATTCAAAAAGAGATTGTCAAGATCTTATTTGTTTATAACCAGAATTTTCTATGACAAAAAATATTTTAATAAAAATCTACAAAGGATGTAGGCCTATTGCTAAGGTGAAATTTTGTTTTTAATCATTTTCTGATTATGGCTCTGGCAAAAGTAATAAAGAAATGGTGTATTAATTTTTTTTTCATATTCCTTTTTTTTTAATTTGATTTTTTTGGGCCTGTTAAGTTGTGGAACACCACTTGGTCATGTAATCAAGCTGGCCTTCCTCTCAGTAGATTTTATAGGGAATATTTTCATTGCATTTCATTGAAACATGTTCATAAATAACTCAAGTGTTTGGATTGTTTACTGTAGCTGTTTTAATGATGTGAAATTTGTTTTAAGTAGTCTGTAGCTTTTCTTTGGTAAAAAAACATCTAACAAACTAATTGATTTTAAAGGCACAAGAATTGAAATCCATAATGGTATTTGTGGTGAGAATTCAAGTAGTGGGCCTACTTGTGTCTATGAAATCTTTTTCTTTTCAATATATTTACAGTTTCCCCATATTATGACTGACTATGGTTACTGCCATTTTACTAGTTTTTATTGAAAAGATCTAGTATATTATAAATTGTTCTTGTTTTGCTTGGTTTTTCTATGAAATAAGAACTGCACTAAATACAAAATCATTTATTGTTGTTTTTTAAATTATTTATTTATTTATATTTAGTTTAAAACATTGACCTTCCTGTAATATTGTAATAAGCCTAGGCTTGTTAGTACTAATTTAGTACTATACTATTACTTTTTTTTGCAATCTAAACAAAGGGAGATAATTTTTTATTTAAAACGAAGAGAGCTTCAATTTTTAAAATTGTCCTTTATATTCTCCTTGTTATATATATATATATATATATATATATATATATATAAATATATATATATATATATATTTTTTATATATATATATATATATATATACATTTATATATATACTAGCCGTCCCGGCCAGGCCCTGCTCTGGCTTCTGTGAAAAACCTTTCTGTTAAAGACCATTACCTGTGTGTTTAGTAATCATCATAAACCCGGCATTGCACACCCAAACCCAAACCAAAACAACAAAACGCAAACATAAAGCTAACACAATTACAAATACAAACGAAAACAAAAACCTAACAACTAACCCAACCACAACCACAAACACCAATACGAACACAAAGAAAAAAAAACAAACGAAAAAGCAAACGAAAACAAACCAAATCCAAATGCAAAACCAACCACAAACCCAAAGAAAAAAACACAAACGAAAAAACAAACGAAAACAAACCAAATACAAACGCAAAACCAACCACAAACACAAATACAAACACAAACGCAAAGAAGATAAAACACAAACGAAAACGAAAAAAGAAAGAACAAAAACGAACCAAATCAAAACGCAACCACTAACGCAAACCGAACCTAAACACAAAGAAAACACTAACGCGAACATAAACGCACAGTGCTCAGAGTCTAGCCCGGGGCGGAATCGCCTGTTTCAGCTTAATAAACGACTATAGTACCCCAACTTATTCATAGTCTTTTGCACTCACTTTAATGAACGTAGGCGCGAAACCGAACACGGGAGGCCCGGGACCCCAAATAGCACCCTGTCTGGGCGCCAGAGGACGCACCATGACGTCACCGCCTGATTGAACTTAGTAAACGACTATAGTACATAACTTATTCATAGTCTTTTGAACTCACGCGAACGTATATACCATAGCGTACACCGGAAGGCCCGGGGCGCCAAATAGCACCCTGTCGGGGTGCCGGAGGACGCCCGGATTTGATTCACTTAAAGTCTATAGTAACCTTTCTTACCCATAGTCTATCGCACTGTTAAAAACAAAACTATGCAGCATAGCGCTCACATGACAGCCCAGGGTGCCAAATCGAACCGTGCAAGGGCGCCGGCGGACGCGCCTGTTTCAATTTAGTGAACAAAAATGATAATACTCCAAGCTTATCCGTAAATGGAAAGAAATAAACATATAGGATTTGTAGGACCTGGCTTATTAAATGTTATTGATTTAAAAAAAAAAAAAAATATTGAACAGTATGTTCAGTGTATAGAATAAATAAAAGGCAGTGTTAAAAATACCTAACGACATTGCACTTAATCAATCCCCGCTAATTATGTAATTATTTTTTTTTCTTAACACCAAAAACAAAGTAATAAAATGTAAATTCTTTCTTCTTAAGAATTTTTTTTTTATTAAAGGGAAGTAACTGTGCAGTCAATACATTTCCGACACAATTTTAGAAATTTTATAAACGTCGATACACTTTTTAAAAATTTTATGTCGCGTTCATAATTGAAAATTATTCTTCTAAGTAAATAGAATGAAAATTGTTTTTAAAGACTTTCAATGGTAATTTTTTGACTCGTACATTTAGACTATGAGCACGATAAAAAATCTAACACTTAAATCCATAGAACTGTCAACGACAAACATATGCGTTACAGAATTGAGCTTTATATATTAGACTAGCCGTCCCGGCCAGGCCCTGCTCTGGCTTCTGTGAAAACCTTTCCGTTAAAGACCATTACCTGTGTGTTTAGTAATCATCATAAACCCGGCATTGCCCACCCAAACCACAACCAACCAAAACAACAAAACGCAAACATAACGCTAACACAATTAGAAATACAAACGAAAACAAAAACCTAACAACAAACCCAACCACAACCACAAACACCAATACAAACACAAAGAAAAAACAAACGAAAACAAAAACCTAACAACAAACCCAACCACAAACACCAATACCAAAAAAAAACAACGAAAAAGCAAACGAAAACAAACCAAATCCAAACGCAAAACCAACCAAAAACACAAATACAAACCCAAACAAAAAAAAAACAAAAACGAAAAAAGAAAGAACAAAAACGAACCAAATCAAAACGCAACCACTAACGCAAACCCACCTAAACACAAAGAAAACACTAACGCGAACATAAGCGCCCGGGGCAGAATCGCCTGTTTTAGCTTAATAAACGACTATAGTACCCCAACTTATTCATAGTTTTTGCACTCACTTAAACGAACGCGCCTGTTTCAATTTAATGAACAATTATAATACTCCAAGCTTATCCGTAAAATACCTAAAACATTTGCACTTGATCAATCCCCGCTAATTATGTAATTATTTTTTTCCCAACACCAAAACAAAGTAATTAAAAAGTAAATGCTTTTCAACTAATGCAATGGTTTCATAAAGGGAAGTAATTGTGTTTTGCCTAATTTATCAAAGGGAAGTAAGCGCTATAGGACTAAATAAAAACATAATTAGAATTTTTGTAAAAGATGATATTATTTTTAAAACTTGTGTTTAATGAACATGCCGACAATTATTACTATAATTTGAAAAATGAAAATGATTTCCCAACACTTTTAATAGTAATTTTTTAACTCATAAATTTAGACAAACGCGCACGATAATTGATCTAACACTTAAATCCGTAGAAATGCCAACGACAAACATATGCGTTACAGAATTGAGCTTTATATATTAGATTTATATATATATATATATATATATATATATATATATATATATATATATATATATATATATATATATATATATATATATACATATATATATATATATATACATATATATATATATACATATATATATATATATATATACATATATATATTTATATACATATATATATTTATATACATATATATATTTATATACATATATATATATATATATACATATATATATATACATATATATATTTATATATACATATATATATTTATATATACATATATATATTTATATATACATATAAATATTATATTTATATTTATATATATTTATATTTATATATATTTATATATATATATATATGTATATATATATATATGTATATATATATATATGTATATATATATATATGTATATATATATATATGTATATATATATATATGTATATATATATATATGTATATATATATATATGTATATATATATATATATATATATATATATATATATATAAGAAACAGTTAATGAAACTTAATGTAGTTGCTACACTGTCTGCCATTTAGGCTGCAAATTTGACAAGGCATAGCAGATATTTATTCAATAATTTCTTTAATTTTCATAATGTACATATTCTGCCTTCCACGCTTGTACAACATACAGAACTCAGTGTACGATATATTTTGGGCTAACACAGAGGGTTATCTCCCTACAAACAAACTCAATATCTTTACCACATTGCCTTTCACACTTGGGGGTCATCCATAAATGACGTCACACTCGTAGGGGGGAGGGGGGTCCGTAATTTTGTGACGATGTGTGATGAGGGGGAGGGGGGGTCAGATGTTGCGACGTCACATTTTTGCATCATAAAAAAGCAATGTTAGAAAACGAATTTTAGACGTTATTTCGCGTTTTAGATAACTGTTGTAATAAATTGTAATAGTTTAGACAAGATTTTGGAAAACTATCAATGTTTTAAAAAAATTCAACTGCAATTTTGAGGGGGGTTGTAGGTTGAGGTGTGACGTCATTTTAGGGGGGGGGGGGGTCTGGCTTTTTGTGACGAAGTGTGACGGAGGGGAGGGGGGAGGTAAAAATCGTCAAAAAAAGCGTGACGTCATTTATGGATGACCCCTTGATAAAAACAATAATTCAAAAGCATATCAGAAATGATATAACAACAGTAAAAATTATTAGTAATATTACATTAATTTTTTTTTTTGTTGTTATCAAGTTATTCACATCATCATATTTTTTTTTCGCATAACTGCTGTCTTCTGCAGATATGTTGTTTAGTAATTTTTACCAAAAAAAAACAACAAATGTAACTGAATCAAGTTAAATTTTCTTCAAGTTTCATCTACATGTTAAGAGTTCTTTCCTCTTCAGCCTCCTCGTCACTTTTGTTCTCACCCTGTCCTCCCTCCTCCTCCTCGTTCATTCCTCTCCTCCCGTGAAGAACATTGTAAGCCTTCCTGTTTTCCTTGGGCTCTGTCCTACCCCACATTTCCATCTCGTGCTCCAGCTCGCTCTCGCCCGCGTGAAGTTGTTGAGGGTCCTTCATGCCCCGGATGTCGTCGTCACCTTGATCCCATTCAGCAGTGTCAAGGTCAGGCTGGGAGAGCTCTCGTATCTTGGAGTAAATTTTCTGAAGATATTCTTTGCGCAGGTCTCGCACCTGCTGGGAGGCGAGGCGTAAAAACTTTTTTTTTTAAAGCAGAAGAACAATTTTAAAAAATAATACCAAAATTCAACATTGAAGGTAGTTCTCGATGGAATTTAAAATATGATGTAAGTATAGGTAGGCTAAATGTGATTGCATTTTAAAATCAGTTTGGGATAGTATAGGATACATAAACTTTATGTATCCTATACTATCCCAAAGTGGGATATTCTTGGGTGTAATTTTTTTAAAGCAGTCTTGTGAATCACAGTGTAATAATGACAACTTGTAGTTTTTGTTAGTAGATTAAAACCTAACTTGTGATAAATAAGTTTAGATAATGTTAACAATTTATAAAACAAAAAATTAATCATCCTTTCAACCTATACCTGTAGGATTTTATTTTAATGAAATTTTTTCAACAAAAATCTTATCTCCTGAAGAGGCTAAAGTTTACCCCTACAAATCTTACCTCCATTAATAAGCAGCTAAAGTTTACCCCCTAAAGCTTTATCTCATGTAAATTAATAGCAAAAGCTTACCACCAAAAGTTTAATCTCCTGTCAATAAGAGACTAAAGTTTACCCCAAAAAGTCTCACCTCCTGCCAGTATGATGCATCATTGGCGTCATTGCCCATCTCGTCTCTCTGCCAGTTTTCAAATTCTCTTTTCTCCTGGTCCAGGAGCTTGTTCAAGTCAATACCTAGAGAGATGGCATCCCAGTTTTGGTTAGAGTTCAAGTGAACACATATGAAAGTTAACAGAACCAGAGCTAAAAAGCCTCTGGGACAACAGCATGCATAAACTATCCATCTGTTCTGAACTTTCCTGAGGGTGCTGAAGCCCACACAAGGTCTACATTCTAGATCCTAAATATCATCTCACATAAAAGATTCTTTGTATGTAGGTCCAATGGCCAAGACAGGCTTACCAAACACTAACATTAGAAGTGACTAGCTCTGAAATTTTCGATAGATTTAGATTCAGTGAGAAATAATTTAAAATATCACATTTGATGAAATGAAAGTAAACTGCACAGGCTGTGCTAAGTGGAAAAAATCAAAACCTAATGGAGGCTGTAGATTGTTGCTCACTGAATACACGTGTTAACAATAGTTCTATTTGATAGAACGAACGTTTGATTACACAGACCCTCATTATGTGGCAAATATTATTTTTTAAACTAACACATGAATGATAATATTGCCATGTAGGTCAATATCTATCTATATATATAATTCTCTGCTGGGAGACGCTAGAAAACAAGCTGTAAACGCGCTCCCTACCACCCCCACCCCTACATGGTCTTAGTGAGCTGTGTTCACTCTAAATCTTTACAAGCAGAGTCGGGTTTAGTGACGACTATTAGGGGCAGATAATTTAGTTTGAAACGATTTTAAACGTAGGGGAGGGGGGGGAGGAAAGGGGGGGGGTAATGGTCCTTAACGTGCTACTTATAGTGTTTTAAAGAAATATTTTCAGTGGCAGCGTTGGTACCGTCGAATTCACAAATTATGAATTACTGAAAAGTAGAACAAACAACAACTAAATAGCGGCGTATGTTATGCCGCGGGCCGGCTCGTATTCTTTAATTACTAGCAAACATTTGGGCCAGTCACCTTTGAGCTGTTCCTCACTAAGTCCTAGATCAATGATGTCCTGATACAAGACTTTGTTCTTGGGGCGGTAGTTGGCCTCATCAACATGATGGTGGACGTTGTGTTCCCCGTGAACGATGTGCTCAATGTCCATGTTGTCAATGTGTTCACGTTCGACTTCCTGGTGTAGAGGGGACAGTGTTATAATTTTGTTCAACTTTACATAAGGAGAAAATTTCTTACTAATAGAAATTTCTACCCTTCCTGATATTTAGATGGGGAAAATACTATGTATTACTTCAAAATAAAAGAAAAAGTAGGCATTAGATTGTGTTTTAATTGTGTGTAGTATTTTTTCCAGTTTTTATCACATGTGAAAAAAATGGGGAGTAACTCTTTTAAATTTTGATTCCTTGACTATTCTCGATTTCACCTTTGATTCTTGGTGTTCCAGTGGCTTGAGCAGGTTGTCTGCGGGTGCCCCACCCCCGGGCTGGACTTGTGCCTCTACTGAACAATAGAACAATCATGCGTGAAATTTAAACTAGGCTAATTTGTGTGGAAAGGTGGGATAGGTTGAAACAGGACGAGGAAATAGCAAATAATCTAAGGGAAATAACTCACAAAGCTGGACAAACAAAAGTAAAATAAATATTTAGATATTAGAAAAAGTTAAATACAAAAAACTTCATTGAGTTCACCTGACTTCTTAATTAACAAATATAAGGGAAGCAACGAGATACATTTTTAAAACAACCAACGGGAAGCAACCAAATTATAAGCAATCTTTGACTACTAACAAACCTTGTTCTGTGTGAGGATTATGGTCATGGTCTCCTTGTCCAGCATGCATCATGTGTTCAGGGTCAATTGTTGAGTGTTGCTAAACAGGTTACAAATGTGTTCCATTACAATACTTGTAAACAAGATTCACATAAAACAACGATATATATATATATATATATATATATATATATATATATATATATATATATATATATATATATATATATATATATATATCCTGGTCGAACTTTGCTAAACATAGTTTTAGAACAACACTTGTCTAACTTATAAAATTTTATTCATAAAATAAAATTTAAAAAATAGTGCTTTTTGTAAAAATGAAGAAGAAAATATGTTATTAAACTTTTTTTTTTAAATAACGGAACATTCAAGTCAGGTAACTCACTTTTTTGGCTCGTTCATCAGAGTTACTTCCCTGCCCTTGAGCGAACATGTCCACATTACCTCCCTGTAATGGACCTTGATCTTTGTGCCCCTCGTCATGCACGTGATGTCCCCCGTGCATGATCTCCTCGATGTCCCCAGGGCCGAACTGCTGGTTCTTCATGAACTCGGCAGCCGTCCTGGCCACGTTGTCGTGGACATTGGTCATCACGTTGGGCTGGAAGCTCTTGAGCTCGTCGGTCTCTGCCTGGTGTCTGGCCTCGCTGCCTCGTGCTGCGTCCTCACTGGCATCGCTGAAAGTATTGCATCTTTTAAAAACTACAGACTTGGATATTTTTCTGTTGTTGTTTTTTTTTTTAGACGGCGTGGTCGGTTGGTAGAGCGTATGCCTGCAAGTCTGTATGTATCAAGTTAGGGTACTGGGCACGAGTCTTTAGGACTTCGCTGTCTATCCAGCATAGAAAATACACGACTCACGTTTAAGTAATTAAAGGTGGCCAGGAAAAAAATAAGGCTCAGTCAGTGTTACTTCCAGACTTCTCTCGTCGGTGGAGGGGGACAATATTTTCAAGGGGGGGGGGACACTGGTAAAAGTATGCAGAGTTTCCTTCAAGCATCTCTACCGCCCCCCCCCCCCCCCCGAACGAAATGAAATTTATATATTTTATATAGAAAATATATACTTTTAACAGTGTCCGCCCCCCCCCCCCCCCCGAAGAAAGTCTACCGCCCCCCCCCCCCCCCCGAAAATTTCAAGTGCCCCCCCCCCCCCCCCCCCCCCGGAGAAAAAAGTCTGGAAGAAACAATGAAAGTATGTTTTCTACATAAACTTCGTTTAGTGGGGCGGTAGACTTTCTTCGACCCCCCCCCCTCCCCCGAAGAGATGCCTGGAAGAAACCCTGGCCTTAGTATGGTATGCCTAGATAACAGAAAAAGATGTACTCTACTTTATCTGCCTTATGGTCCAATTTGTCCGAAAGTATAGCCTCGTTTCTTATATCCATCAGTCTCTATATAGCAGATAACTATCCAATGAGATCATACAGCGAGACAATACTTTCTGTACAAACTCTAGTCTTTCTTTCTTTTTTTTCAA